AAGCAAGTGCACTTGATAAGTCTTGATTGGTTTCCAAGGAAGACGACGATTGCCTTCCATTACCGGTTTCCATTTTCAACTTCTTTAGTTGGATTTAACCCTAATTAAATTGGTTTAATTATAATCTTTAACTAGGTTAAAACCCGTGGAACCCACGGATGTTAATTTTAAATAGAATTAAAAAAAATTGATTATGTAATAAAATAATGTATCATTAATTTAGAAAAGTATATGAATTGTAATATTGTATTTTTTTTAACAATTTTGTAATTGGTAAGTATTTAATTACACTATAAAAGAAAGTAAATTCTATTTCATGCATTTAGCACATTAAAATAGTATACAGTTTATTAAAGTATAACCCTTTTCAATATTAATTGAGTCCAAAAAAGAAACATGTAGGAAAAGAAAAAGTTGTGTGTGGCTATGTCACTATGTGTGTGTGAAGGTATGTGTTATAACCAGTTAAAGAGAGTGAATTATAGTTTCACTCCCTGAGTTTAGACATTTTTTTAAAAAAAAAAAATTGGTCCATAAAAGAATTGCATTGCAACTTTGATATATCATGTTCCTCTCAATAGAAGTATTATTTTTTGCATTTACATAAAAGGCTAAATGCAAGAAACTCTTAATATAAGAGTCACCATTATCAATTCTCCTTTTAAGAAACTCAAATCCGTAGGATACATAACACTTAAAACAACAATAAAAAACCACCAATTATCATCCTCCATTATCATACACTAGAGTTAATATAAATCCTACCCTTTTAACACCTATGGTCAAAACTTAAAAGAAAACCAACATTAACATAAACTTAAACCCCAATTTTAGAAATAAATAATAGTGTCTAACAATTTTGTAATCTAATTCCAAAGAAGGGTCTAACATGGTTTAAAAGAATCAATGTTTGAGATTTAAGCTTATTTTGTCAATAATTTCCATAGGGGACTGTTTTGGTCAAATTCATAAAGTGGTGGGGCTGAATTGGTCGATTAGACCAAAAATTGAAATTGGGGGAAAAGGGGTCAGGTCTCCGTTTTTTTGAATTTGAGAAAAAGAAACAACCAATCGAAGAAAGGGCTCCGATGGCGTTTGATCGGGAAAAGAAGCAGGGGGGATCTATGGGGTTTCGCTGGACCGAAGGAAGAAGAAGAACGAAGCAGGAAGCTACTGTCGATTCTTGGTAAGTGA